CTCCCCTAAAAACAGGAATACACATATGACATTACCATTTATACTACTGTTTCTAACCAGGGCTTGGCATATGGTATACAAGTCTTCATTCAGTGTTCTTTATTCGATAAACTATTGTTTTCTCTCCTAGATTTGCAATAGTTTCCCCGTTCTCATTGATTATTTCCCAGGGAGTCATAATAAAGTAATTAAAAATGATGCTAATTTAAAACACTATATTTTGGAGAAAACAAAGGAGCACCAAGCATCCCTGGACATGAACAATCCTCGGGACTTTATCGATTGCTTCCTGATCAAGATGGAGCAGGTAAAATGTTAATGACACATCAGTTATTTGACTACTTGTGCATTCTCTGTTCATTGATTACTCTCATATATACATGGGATGTTTCAGTGGTCATGCAAACAACGTTGACATGCATTTTAGTACCCATTTTGTGCATGAATATGCAATAAACATTGTTATGGAAGACATCATATTTAACTGTTAAAGAAGTAGAAAACCTGATCCTGCTCTATGGGTACTAATAGTCTACCCAAGAAGAGACAGAATGATACCCCTGGTGAAATATAAACAATTACAAACAATTTGGAAAATACAAAATGTCATGCTATACTATGAACATGGGCAGGATCATTGCACACACTGCCTGGAAGAATGGAAAAGAATGGCTTAACAGAGCTGGGCTTCCTGTATGTCCAGTGGTTGGAAATAAATCTTAATATATCTGCACTGAAAAACAAGGAGAGGGAATTTCAGATGGTTGAATATTGTATATAGCAGTGCAGAGATGTGCGGTGGGAAATACTTGGTGGATGGAAGAGAGAAACATTAATTGAATGTAAAGTAAAAAGGAACTGGCATAGATACAGAGCTGGAATCATAATTCTGTGTGCATGAGTCCTGCACCACTTGTTGAAAAGGCTAGTTTTCCCACGAGTCATCTTGGAATCCTCGTCAAAAATCAACTGACAAAATGTGAGTGTTACAACTATATGGAAACATATTGGACAACCTAGAAGAAATGGACACATTTCTGGAAACATACAGTCCAGCAAGATTGAATCAGGAAGAAATTGACCACTTGAACAGTCCGATCACTAGAAATGAAATCAAATTAGCAGTAAAAAAAAACCTCACTATGAACAAAAGTCCAGGACCAGATGGCTCCACTGGGGAATTCTACTAAACATACAAAGAATAACTCTCACTGATCCTTCTCAAACTCTTCCAAAAGACTGAAAAGGAAGGAATACTTCCAAACTCATTCTATGAAGCCACCATCACCCTGATACCAAAACCAGAGAAAGACACTATCAAAAAGGAAAATTATAAGCCAATATCACTGA